AGGGATTTTTTTAAAAAAGTCTGATTATGCACACACATATAAAACCAAATATGAAAGGTTTCAAACTAAGATGTTTCATTTTGCAAGTCAGGTAAGAACCCTGAAGTCTCTAACCAAGAAATACAGGACAGACTGGATCACAAAGCACACTCAAACAGACAGGCAGGCATCAAACCAATAAAGATACAGACTCTTCCAATGGAGTACAGACCCCCCCACACTTCTCCATGAGAACAAAATGGAATCCCTGTTGACTTCGAAGACTTCAGGTAGGTGACCAGGTGACCAGAATCCTTTCTGATCTACTTGATTAGCATCTGACTGCAGCCTGCCAAGATTCCAGGGCAGGAAAAATAGACTCCCACCTCCGCTTGGGTATGTCAGTTTCCAATTGCTGTTGTTACAGATGATCACATGCTTAGGCACCTAAAATAGGACACATCTTGATTTTGCAAAATCAAGGTGCTGGCTAGGTTTACTATCTTCTGGAACAGTGGTTCTCAACCTGTGCACAGGTCGGGACCCAACTGGGGGCCAAATGACCCTTTCACAGGTGTCATGTAAGATCATCGGAAAACACAGATATATTTACATTATGGTTCAAAACAATAAAAGCAGTACAGTTACAAAGCAGCAACGAAAATAAATTTTATGGTAGGGGGATCACCAAGGCATGAGGAACTGTATAAAAAGGTCACAGCTTTAGGAAGGTTGAGAAGCACTGTTCGGAAGCTTTAAGAGAGAAACCATTTTTCTTGTTCTTTTCAGCTTCCAGGGCACCAGCACTGTGTGGCTCCCAGCATGGCCTTGGAATCAGCTTCTGACTCTGATGTTCTTGCCTTCTCTTGTGTCTTGTGATCACATCTAGCTAATCCAGTCAAACACCCCTATCTAAGGACACGGTCAGAGTCTGTTCTGTGAAAGAATGTGCCATCGTATCATTCAGATGTGGGTGTCTTTGGGGAGGATACTTTTCTGCTTGCCATTGTATCCTAGTTTGCTTTCCACTGCTGCGATAAGCACCAAGAACAATCTGGCACAGAGCAGACTTCTTTTCATTTAGACTCCCACAGCATACTCAATCACTGAGGGAAGTCATGGCAGGAACTCAAGCAGAAGCAGACACAGGAACCATGGAGAAAGGCTGCTTGCTGGCTTGCTCCCCTTGGCTTTCTCAGCTGTTTTTTGTTGTTGTTGTTGTTGTTCTTTTTAAATTTTAAAACTTGCTTTTACCTTTTATTTTTATTACATGTATAACACACACACACACACATATATATATATATATGAATGTTTTGCCTGCATGTGTGTCTATGCACCATGTTTGTGCAGTGTTTGCAGAGGCCAGAAGACAGCATTTGATCCCCTGATACTGGAGACACATATGGTTGTGAGCTGCCACTTGAGTTCTGGGATTCAAAGCCTGGTCTTCTGAAAGAGCAGCCAGCCAGTTCTCTTAGCCACTAAGCCATCTCTCTTATATACACTAGGATCACCTACCTGCTCAGGGATAGCAGCACTCACAGTGTACTGGGTTCTTTCCCATTAACTATTTACCAGGCAAATACCCAATAGGTAAACCAGACTGAGAAAGACAAACATTGCGTGCTTTCCCTCATACATGGAGTTAGCTTTTAAGCTCTATATATGTGTGTTTTCATTTAGAATAACCACAGAGATTAAGTATCTAGTAAGGGATCATGGGCAGGAGATCTTCCAAGGAAGAAGACATACAATATAGTGTTATAAAGGAATAAATTTGAAAACTAGTATAGGAGGATTGAATGGGGAGGGGGTCTCAAGCCAAGCATCTGAGACCAGATATGACATGAATCGCAGAAGGAAATCTCCTATTATAATTCTGCTAAATAAACAGCAATCAAATGACTTCCAATGACTCCTAATTGCTTTACCCATAGATTAATGCATTGCTCAACTTTCATCAGAATGCTTCTTCTCGCAATAGACGATAACTAACACAGAGAGGCAAAGAGCCAAAACTGGACAATGCATAGAGACTGAGAGAGGTTGGAGCACTCAGTCTTACATTGGATGTCTTTATCAAACCTCTCCCCTCAAGGATGAGACAGACAGACTAGAATAACCAGATGTGATGGATGACTCCAAAAAACCCAACATCTTCCAGACACAAACAAAGCTGACACACATATGGATTCACGGAGATGGTGACAGCATGCACAAGACATGCACACGTTCAAACCAGACAAGATCCCAGCACAGAGGGGGGGAAGTGGACACAAAGTCTCACTTCTAACCAAGAAGCTATCTGCAACTGATATATGACAGGAGAGGGAAAAATCCATGTTCCCCACTACAATGGCCCTGAATATATCAACCACACTCAAGGGAAAGTCCCATGCTCAGAAGTAATTGGGCAATACAAAATGGTCTCCTTGAATTTTGTGTGCTTTTGTTTTGTTTTGGTAGTTTTTGTCATTTTAGGTTTATGTTAGGTTTGTCTTGATTTTTATTCTTTTTTATTGAGAGAGAAAGAACGTGAATTGGGCAGGTTGGGAGGTGGAGGGGGAAATATATTCAAACTATATTGTATGAAAAAAATTAAGGACAATAAATTTTGAAAAAAAAAGAAAATGTCCAACAGACATGCTTACAGCCCTGTCTGATGGAGGCAGTTCTCCGAGGTTCCCTCTTCCCAGGTGACTCTAGCTTTGTATCAAGTTGACAAAACTTACTAGCACACACATGCTGACAGAAAAGCATTTCCAGCCATATCTAAAAGCATCACAAAAAATGTGAGACATTCCATGAATACTAATTTGATAAACGTCAGGAAGGTATGAGTTCTGATAGCATGTTTCAACTTTAAAGGGTAAACCCTGAAGAAGGTGCCACAGTCATCCTTCCTCTTCCTGACTTGTGTACTACGAAGGTTCTTTTGCTTCACAGCCATCACTGAGACACTAACCTCCTGAGTTCACAGGGTGGACAAGCACATAGCTGTTGACGAATTCACTTCCACCTCAAACAAGAGAACTTCCTGTCTCTCAATACCTCCTGTCTCCACACCTTACTTCGTAGGATGGGGACATAGTGGGAAAGACATGGAGGAAGGAATTCTACAAAGCCCAGTGCTGCTTAGATTCAGAGGCTTATCAAGGCCAATGGGCATCCCTTGACTTTCTTGATGGGCCTCATATTTTATTGTTTGAAGTCACCTCACAAGTTCTTGTTCTTGTGTTCAGCATTCAAGATGTCAATTAAAGACAGACATTGGATGTGCATTGATACATTTGCCATATCTTAACATTCCCTGTCCTTAACCATGTGAACCTAGGCCAGGATAGACATCTGAGGTGTTGACTCTGACCCCATCAATGTGTTGCAGAGAATGAAGAAAGAAGCAGGAACTGGGGCCTGGAGTGTGAGCCCTGGTTATACTTAAGAATAGTCTGGGCCTGGGGGTTAGGTCTGACAGCAGCCAGAGGAATGCAGCTCAACTGCCTGGAGCTTCCTGGAGGAACTGTTTCCCTTCCGAAAGCCACAGGGACTGCAGACATAAGGGGGCAGAGTGCAACGCTGTTTTAGACTTGTTTTGCAACATCAGAGCACTGATTTTCCCGACGTTCCCTTGTTGCTCCCTGCTAACTCTACAAGCTGCAAAAACCTTAGGAAATATCACACTTCCCCTCATTCTCAGGATGAAAGGAAAGGATGGGCTCCTGAGGCTGGGCATTCTTTGACTAGCTTTGAGAGGGAGGACAGGCTCCTCCTAAGTTCAAAATTGAGCCTTTAGTGTTTACTTCCAGCTTGAAAAATAAACGACTATTAAAATTTGTTCCATGATATTGAAAAAAATGGTTCCCAAATGTATATGAGAACAAAAGCACAAGCCTTCTACCTAAGGAACACCACTACCCTCCTAGGGCACCAGGGAGCAGGCATGCATTTACTAACTGAAAATCTTCTCAGAGTCCCCAGACCACCCTCCACAAGTGCATATCACTTGTTTCTGTTCCATCCCATAGGATCCAAGTCTTAAAGAAAAAAACTGACACAAAGCAGAACTAGAAACTTGTTTATTGATCAAACTGCAGCATTAACAAAAACTTATCAGCAAAGGCTTAGTATTGGTCAACTCCTAGACCAAAAAGGAAGGAATAAAACAAGAAGTTCAGGAACAGACCATGAATACAAGGCAAACAAGAATATAACCTGAAATTAATGGAGAATAACTACAGTCAAAGTTGAAGAATTCAAAACCCTGAATGACTTATAGATGCAGCTCAATGGTAGTGTTTGATTTGCAAGCTCAAGACCCTAAATTCACGCCCCAGCATCAGGAAAGAAAAAAAAAACAAAAATAAACTACCTGACCTAGAGATGGAGCTCCATGGAGTGTTTGATTCGAAAGCTCAAGGCCCTAAATTCACTCCCCAGCACTACTAAAGAAAAAAAAACTTAACCTGAGCTAGAGAAGGAGCTCAGTGATAAGAGTGTTTGCTTTGCGTGTGCAAGGCCTAGAGTTCGTTCTCAGCACTAAGAAAACAAAACAAAACTGGCTGTGACCACCATTTCCAATAGTAAAACACTGGGCACTCACAGCTATTGACAACTTCCTTAAGTACAGGCCTTGCATGTCAATACTTTTCCATTTCAGGTATGAACAATGCACATACTCTGTATTCCATTATCACAGTATTTGTGAAATGGGTACTGCTTGGGAATAAACAATATTTGTATTAAAGGCAAAACAAGATCTTCCCAGGCCCAGAAAATTACATGCAGGACCATGGGGATTAGGTGACTATCGTAGCATTGATAAGCCTTAGAAGGCAGGTTTTGAATTTAGCTAAAAAAGAAAAAAATTCTATTCTGAAATGAACTCAAACAACAATATCCTTCCAAGACAGCCCAGTGCTGGGGAGGCTCTTATGAGGGCAGCATCTCTTTCTTAGGTCCTGTTTCCATCAATAAATTCTTGGGGAGTAGGGCTGTAAAACTTGCAGGTGGCTGAGCTATTAGTCTGTGTTGTGCATGGGGCTCAGAGAACCCTGGCCTTCCTTCTCTTCATCCTCCCTCTTGTGGATTTTCAAGTGTCTCAGCAGACTGGATTTGTGCTTATAGCTTTTCTGACAGTATTGGCAGACAAATGGTCTCTCTTCAGTGTGTCTCACTTGGTGTGCAATAACGTGGGACTGCCCTCTAAAGGATTTCCCACAGTAGGGGCACAGGTAAGGCCTGGAAACTACCTGAGCTCTCACATGTTCCTTCAGGCCCAACTTGTACATAAACTCCCTCTTACACAGCCTACATTGCTGCCTTTCTTCGTCAAAATAGGCTGCCTGTGGGCTGCTAACAGTTGCTGCCTGACTAAATGAATTGCTACACACAGCATGCTCATGGGTATCCTCCTCCTGGGAAATGAACTGGCTTCCATAGCGGTCTGAGCCACAGGAGGGCCCTGCCCTATTTCTGGGGCCCTCTCTCGCCACCCTTCCTGCACGACTTCCCACACGCCTATTATATTGCTGCTGGTGAGCAGAACACAGCCCTAACTGCTCAGGGGAGAAAGGCCTCACATAGGGACGAGCCTGTGGGGGGGCTCTAGGGTGGAGAGACCCCTGTGCTTCCTTGGAGGTCCCTGGCATCTCCCATTGGTCCTGGTTTTCTGGGGACTTCTGGGTTTCCTCAGGCACCTTGAATTCAGCCAGCAGCTGTTCTGGGGGTTCTTCACCAGGAGGTTCCAGATATTGATACTCTTTGGAGAAATGGAATGCTGGAAGCGAAGCAGAAAATGGGCTCATCACTTTGATGTATGCTGGCATATGTTCATCACCCCGCCCCCACATCAAAAGCTGAGAGAAGGAATGGAAATGATGGACATCACTGTGTTACATGGAGAATGCACGCTCAGAGGGTGGGCCGAAGCTCCCAAGTAACACCACTGACCTCCCCTACCTGTCTCTCGACTTTCTTCCCTGGCTTCTACTGAATCCCTTTCTTCCTGCCTGAGTGTGGGAATTGCCCTATGTCTGTGGAAGCCAGCAGCCCCTCCACTTGCGTTTATCTTACCGTGTCAGAGAACAAGCTCCAGTAGGGCTACAGCTTGCCAGAGGGAAGAGGGAAGGCCGTTGGAAACTTCACCAAAAACTGTCTCAGAGTTCATTCAGCCTGCTCTGTTGGACACATGAAGTCTCTCCATCTGTTTCTCTCTCAGCTAGGGTTACTTCACCAGGAGCCCCTGACCCATGCTGTCTGCTTTTGCTTTGTCATTTCCACAATACAAGGTGAATGCTGGCAGGAGCCTACTATGCTTAGTGAAAAGCTAGTCCCCCATCGTCTATGAAGTTGTTGAGACTATCCAGGCTGAAAGTTGATGAACTGAAAGAGTTCCACATGGATCTTGGAAGTATTTCAGTGGAAAGTAAATCACCAAGAAAACCTTCCTAGTCGTTTCAAATGGAGACCAAGGAACTCTCCTATCCTGTCTGTGGTGTGTGTGTGTGTGTGTGTGTGTGTGTGTGTGTGTGTGTGTATGTGTGTGTGTGTGTGTGTGCATGCGCGTGTGTGCACTGCATTGATTTTGCAGCCAGCCCACATTATCTGTGCGTTCTGATTTTCACTGAAGTTTAGAAGAAGTGCATTTTGTTGAAAGCAACACAAGTAACTACCAGCCACTGCTTTTACCTGTCAACCTAAAGACCACAGGTAAAGCATTCTATCCCTTACTTGCTCCCTGCCCCCTCTACAGTCCTAATGCCCCAGCAGGCAGTCTGTATTCACCTCTCTTCCTGAAGTACTGGCCATCTGTACTACTCCATATGACATATGAGTTGCAATATATTTTAAGTCAATGGACATCCTAAACAATCTTGCTTTTTCGAATGTCACTCTCAGAGATTCAGCAGCATGTGCTCAGATGCACATACCCTCCACATCCTAGGTAAGGTAATTTGGGAGGACATTTGACTGTGTCTATTATGTTTAGGGAACTGGTAACTCCAACTTGACCCAAAGGAATGAGAGAACTTGAGCTCTCAAAAATAAACCAAAAGCAGGGAGTGTGGGATCCCTTGCCTTACCAATATTCAGAAAGGGCAGGTGTTGCTCATCATTATCAACGTTCATTTCCTCTGGCTCTGATGATGCTATGTCAAGGAGCTCCTGGTCAAGTTCCAACAGCTGGAATGCAGGTATGCCCACCTGCATGTCTGACGGTGTAAGTAATGGACCCATTGGCACCAGTTCTTCCAAGAGGAAATCACGCATGTTGATCTGAGGAAATATTAGAACCCGTCATCTCACTGGAAATACAACTACTTTTACCTCACTGTAAATACATCATCAACCATCAGCAACAGAAGGAGTTTTAAGATTTTCATCAACCACTGGGTGATGACGGCACATGACTTTAATACCAGCACTTGGGAGGCAGAGGCAAGCAAATGAGGCCAGCCTGATCTATAAAGTAAGTACCAGGACAGCCAGGGCTACATGGCTGAGAAACCCTGTCTTGAAAAACCAGGAAAAAAAGATTTCCAGCAACCACTGGAAACAACACATATAAAGGAAGAGGTGGGGGCAAATACAGTCAGACTCGCAACTGATTTATAGCTGCACTTGCCACATTTCAACTACTCGAGAGGCAGGGGAGGCCCATGACTGCTGAGCTAAGCAGGACGTGTCTAGACCCTTGAAGATAATACCTTATATTGTCAAGAAAATCAGGAAGACAGAGAAAGAAAACGAAACCACTCATTCATGCGACCTTCAGGAGCCAGAAACCTTTGGCAGAGCCCTGTCCTTACAGTCAACTGCCCTGGAGCTGAAGCTCCTGCAAAGCAGTCCCTGTCCCAAGCTGAGATCATGAATCTCAGCTGGCTGCTTCTGCTGCTTCCTCCCACGGACACTGCCCTGTGCTCAGCCATGCCTTCCCTGAACAGAGGCTTCAAGAAGTGGCTCCACACAGAAGGCAATATTGTCTCCATTAAGAAGTCTTTTGGATAAGCTTAGAGGAGCTGCTACTGGAATTTAATGGGCCAGAGATGATGAGGCAGAGCTCTTCCTAGACTTTCTCAAATTCAGAACTTCCTCAAACATTTATATAAATGAAATGAACTAGCAAGAACCACATATTGTTACATATGTCTCTGGAACTTAGATGTCCTAGAGATGCATAATCAGAGGCAGATCATAGTACTTATTGTTTCTATTTACCCAAACCAAAGCACCTTGCACAGCATTGGTGTGATTTATAGTGAGGTAAAAGCAGCTATCCACTTAAGGATATCATATGACCTAGGGCACAACATGGGAAATTTGATGATAATTCCTGGCTGTCCTACCATAGTGATAGTAAGCAGAGACACAGGCATGGAACCACTTCGTAATGTCTTCAGGTAAAGCAGAGCCCAACCACATTTATGCAACAGTTAATAATGCTGTGTAATAAACTATGTTCTCTTTTTGCTATCCTTTCTAGACTCTACTTGAGATTGGGCTT